AAATCGTCTCACGTCACGTATGCTCGCGCTACATTGAGATATAAGAATTCTTAGCGTGCCAAGCCGTATTTTGATACTACATCTCGATATTTATGCTCATTGCGAAAATAAATATTAATCGCAGAATTCTAATATTCAAGTACCACGTGTCGTTCGAACTATTTTACAACGAGGATAGCATGGAGGGTAAGAAGTGGCACAGGGGTTGTACACGCGGGCACTAGAGCGAGGTATGTAATGAGAAAAAAGGCCTACCACGTGACCTTTTCCATCAGAGGTGCATGCGACGTAAGAAGGTTCCACCCAAGCTTTCATCCGAAGGGGTTGGTTTCAATTAGTCCCGAAAGGGTGGTCCAATTGAGATAATCGACCTATTATTGCCGACCATGTCTTTGATAAGCAATATGTATTCCGTTCTCAGCGTGCCGATCACTCAGTTCGAAAACGACCGACTATTCTGTATTTCCTTTCCTCTCTCTCTTGAAACGCGAATAATGCGCCTCAAATTGATTCTGCCGATATTCCGAGATTCTCCTGCTTCTTGAAGAATAACAATGTGTCGAAAGCGGAGGAATAAACAATTTTATCTTTCGCAGAAACGTCTCGTTTTCAGAAACAACAGGAAGAATATTATTACGATGTTTCAAGCGAAAACTTTTCTGTCACACAGCTTTAAAGCGTATTCTCCATTGCCCGGGCGTGTTTTATAACACCATATTATGCTACGAGCGCTTTTAATTTGTCATCAATCCCTCACATTTATTCCTTGTTGTATCTTGAGAAACAATTCCGCCGTCTGGTGTCTATGATCATGTTTTATTACATCTTAAAGTATTCCCGTTTTTTTTTTTCGAAGATACGTATATTTTTACGACACCGAGAAGACGATACGCACGTAAGAGAGAATACGTGGCTTGAGGACAAGCGACCTTCCACACATGAAGCAGAGCAGCAGAAAGCGCAAAGAGGATTCTCTTCTCGCTTTCGTTGCAAGCCGCATGATATGCGAGCCACATGGGGTGGAGGGAAAGTCGCGGTATCATGCGTGCTCCAGAAAGGATCGAATTCGCTAAGCTCGCGCGAATTTCTGACGATGAAGGGGTCAGGACAAAAGTCGTCGAACTAGAACTTCTAATGCATACGCAAACGTATAGAGAGTGTATTACAGAAAATTGTTGGCATAAATGCATTTTATAAATGTTTACCATAATTATTAGATAATGTTTATTAGACAGGTGGATATCGAATTATGCACACGTATCTCAACCGTGCTTGAAATAATCAACTTGTAATTATTAATCACAAGTATTAATTACTCCATTATTAACAATTCTATCTGTTTGCATAAAGGCAAACGCGAATGCCTTTGTATCCATATTATCCCTCCGTAATAAATAAACAGTGCGATAAATTAAAAAATATAAAAATGAGGACATTACTGAAATTTGTTTCCTTCCCTGAACCAGCACTCAGTTTTCGCACTGTAATTATCTGAAATATTTATTGTCGCATAAATATTTTTAATAATTGAATAAATTGTACCGGCATTATACACATATATCGGCCGTTCGAATTAATTCTAATTAAATAACATCGTCATATGTCAGGAGTAATTAGTTGGCAACAATTATTAGTTGGAATTATTATTAGAATTGTTCGGGACATTCTGCAAAAGAATCATATCTGTTTGTGTCGTCAACTCTTATTAGAGAAGCAGGTGAAAAATTCTGTCAATTCTAAAGGGTTTCAAATGATTCAGGAAGCTATCAGGACAGCAACGTTGGTCCGAAGTTTCGCTAGTGCGACACCGCTAAGCAGGCAATTCGGGTGCGGCGATAGACTCAAAGGGTTAATGTAACAAAGGCTTATATTCCATGAGGTCAAAGGTCTCCCATGACGCCTAACCGACGAAAATTCCACACAAAGAGATGACACACAATTTCCTTAGAGGTTCTCGGTAACTTTTGGCATTTGCGTATTCAGAATCTGCACTCTATCGAGGGGATTAAAACCAGTTAACTCTTTAACCTTTCGTTAAGAAAAATTCGTAATTATAAGATATCTGTATGCACTTAAGAAATACGAATTCACTACCCTGATCTGTTTTGCATCTGCATTATATACAAACGGACAAAACTATTCAAACTGCGTGCAAGTACCACACGCAATTAAAACGTAATAACATAAAGAATATAGATGTGAATTGTATCTCACATATATATTTTCGTAAATGTATCAGTGTCGTGTAAAAATTATTCATTCGACATTAATCAATTGCACTATCGAGTTAAAGGCAGAAGATTTCGTAAATATTCATTAAATATTAAACGCATGTGTGTATTTGCGAGAGTTCCGCACTGCGCAAATGATGCTCGCGGGACCGAAAAGCTCGTACACTTATGAAAATGCATCGTGCATTAGTCGACGATAAATTTCCCCGGGTCAGGAAAACGAGTGCAACGCAGTCTATTACGCATAATGCTGCGCCGTAATTAATATCTGTGCGGAAATATGCGAACAGATATGTGAACCATCTGATTACGTGGCGAAGGTAAATCTAGTTGGCTGGCACGGTTGAATGAAAAAATATGGCAATCAATGAAGCTATATGCAAAATCTTAATTAGACAGATATAAAATATCATTCTCAGCATTTGCTTCACACGACAAGACGCAATTTTATGAAAAAATAGTGTAAAAATGGTTTGATTGATATTAAAAAGTTAGAACAATTTTTCCAACGTGTATAATTCTAACTTTTTAATATCAAACCGTATTAATTTGCAAGTTTATGTAGATAGACGGGTGTTAAATTATATTAAGTAAACCGACAGTTTATTATATGTGTGTAAACAATTTGAGTAATATAACTAAGTGAGGCACTTAATTATATTAACGTGCGCACACCGCAGCACGAACAAATGCAATTCCTAGTAAACATGATGTATGGGCGACATTATAAAATTAATTGCATACGGAAAATAGAAATCCCGCTCTGCCGTTTGCTAATTAAATACGTACCGTTTGCCGAAGAAATTCTTTTTTGTTTGTACATATCTCTTTAAATTAATTAATTAATTTGCTCGCCGGGGTTTATTTAAATTTTTGACAGAGTAAAATGCAACTAATATTCCAACATATTGCAATATTTTAGGCGCAGAACATGCGTTAAAAACAAAATATATTTATAGATTTTGACTGCAATGTATATATATATATATACAAATATATATATATATACAAATAAATATATATATACAAATATCACTTTTAATTATTTTTTACTGAATATAATCAAACAAACTTTTAATTAAAATCATGTAGACTACCATTTTAATGTGAACAATTTAATGTGAAAGGTACTGGCGAGAATTAATCAATCTATTCACTTAATGTTGACCAATTCATCTTATTTCTTTCAAGGATAATGGCCGCGCAGGCATTAGAAACAGGACTGATATGAGCTCAGGCTTCTTGTTAGAAAAGCGAAAGCGTTTTTTAAAGGTCAAGTTATCAGGACAACATATCATGGATGGAAATTTCAAAGCCTGCGAGAGTAAATAAACTTAGCTTGCGTTCGATAAAACTTCGATCACTTGGTTGAGCATCAGGATTTCATCTTGTCAACGGGACGAAAAGCATGCCGGAGTACGTGTGCGTCAAGATAGATTGTTAAAAGTATAAAAAATATCAGATTTATAATTAATAGTTATCAAGGTGTGAGAAAATAGTTTAGAAATGTGATAATGGTAACAGGATCTTCATAAACTCAAGTAAAAAAACACGCGAAAATTAATTGTCCCGAGTTAGACAATCAGGCATTTAAAAAAGAAACAGATTTCCTGGGTTTCCCGAAGTTCAATCTGACAATTCACGGAAGGAACTTGCAAGTAATTAACGTAAATACCTTTTTGTACAGATATAATAAAACGGATTATTGTTCTTGATAAAGAAGATTATAAAATATGTGTCCTCGCGACTTGGTATCTATTTTCCGCATCATATTCACGCCCGAAAATATTTCTTAAAAATCGCTTATTTGCTGCAATTATACACTTACATCCAGTCAACTGATCTATTAATTATGGGAGACCCGTATTTATAAGATTCACAATAAAATTACTAAAATAGATGAATGTTCCTAAGAATAATCCTTCAATCAATACGTCGATTTATGGAATAAACAATGTTGCTCTCGTAGGAGATATGTAGAGATAATTTACTTCAATAAATTAACTATCTATTAATATTGAGAGGGAGGGCGACATTGAATAAAAATATAGTGAATTGAAATATATCTTGAAGAAATTTTTTACGTTTCCTTGTATCGGCGGAAAGCGGAGCGCCAAGGAGAGCTAGGTACAGACCTCCATAAATTTCAGATCCAACAATGCATTCGAGTGCAATTGTGGAGGGAGGAGCGTTTCCGGATAATCGCCTGATAATTCTCAGTCAATCGATAAATCATTCCCACACGAGCAAGATGCCTTTCCGTGGGAGCGGCGAGCGGCCTTTGCGTTTGTGAAAAGGACGAGACAATGGCTGGGCCTCGTGAACGACCGATCAAGGCCGTTTCCCATGGTTGGGACGGGTCAATGGCCGGCACAGTGTTCATAAAAGAGCACATGGGACCCCTTCGTCTTTAGTTTCGCGGCAGTTCTCGTGCTGTCTGGATCGTCTCGTATTTAACGTATGCGCAATATCTACTTTATGTTTAGAGTGCAGGAATTATTCGCGTGATTTATTGTGATTTCTATAATACCACAATTAACAAACGTATTGTAACAATCGCGAAAATCATCATCGCGTTTTTACGTCATGTGTGGTGCTAACTTATTAATAGGTATCAATATTTGAAGCTATATTTGATATTTAACGACTTTATAAATAATCTTTTATCGTACATCTCTAACATAAGCTTGACGAGACGATCGATCGGTGATAGCTTATCACACGTTGTAGTATTGTTCCCACGGTATACATTATGCAAAAATTACTTACCCGACGGGTGATTAGATTGCAAATTGTAGTCATCGACTTGTAACGTGCTGTTCGGCCCAGTTCTGGTAAATCTAACCACGTGATATTGGTTGTCGTTAACTTTCACGCCAACCTCGCCGATCGGATGATCGTTGGTGCCCATATTATAAACTGCGAAAACGTTACCCTCCACCTGTGAATAAATTATATGAATAAGTAATTTTTATCTACTACAGTGAATTTTAGCTTTTCATTTGTGCTAACCAGATTAAATCATTGGGACAGAAACTTATCGAATCAAAGAAATTAATAGGTTAAATGCTTGAATAATTGATATATAATATGCTATTCTTATTATAGATCTAGTAATTATATAACCACTACAATTTAATTAGTTAATAATATATATGTATAATATATTAATATTTGAAACTTCTGATTTGTGCTAATCAGATTAAATTATTGGAATAGAAACTTATAGAATCAAACACATTAATAGATTAAAGAAAATGCTTGAATAATTTATATATAATATGCTAATTCTTATTATAGATCTAGTAATTATATAACCACAAAATCTATTTAGCTAATAATATGTATAATATATTAATATTGTATATGTATTGTACATATTAAATTGTATGTATAATTTTGTGACTATTGGAAAAGAAATTACATATACATATATACAATTATACTTTATACATATATAATCTAATAATAATAATACTACTCTATAATATATCAATTTAACATATACTAACTATTTCGATTTCGAGATAATCATTACTCGATGCAGATTCTATCCTAAGCAGCACAGCGTCATTAACGCTGGTGACGAAACCCAAGGCCACAGTGTCTCTTTTCATTTCCGGCCGACGATCAGGCGGAAAGGTGTACGTGATAATTCCTCTTCCGGCTCCAAATTCGTAAGCGATAGCCTCTGTAAAATGAAACATTCTGACGTTAACATAACACTTCATCTGTTACATATTACATTTGAATGCTTGCCGAGACTATTTTAATTTTAGTATTATCAGTTTGGTTATCATCACGTTACGTAAGTAAAATTCATTAAATTTTCCTTCTAAATCTAGTGACCTAATTATTTCGACAAGTTTCTAAAAAATTCAAGTTGGATCAATAATCTCAATTAATAGGAAAAAAACGTTTATCTTCCGTCGAGAGAAATCGATTCTGTTCAAACTATGAATTAGTTTTACATTCCTACAATATTTACAGAAAAGTGATATAAATATTATAGGAATGTAATATTTACAGATATACTGTGATTAGTGATTCTGTATATAAAGAGGATCAACACAGATAATTTCTCTCTCTCTTTGCAAGTGCAAGGCCTCTATGTTTCTCTTTTTTCTTATTCTTTTACCATCGTTACAAGTTGGTCCGGTAAAACTCGTCATGTCGCAGTCACATGTATAGCTATTCCACTGCTGCACGCATGTTCCATGATTGGCACAGAGATCATGTGTGCACTTCTTGCCCGGATGCAGGTTGGTGTAAATGTCGCATCCGGATGTGACGAGGGAACTCGGTACGACGGCATCAGTAATGAGGTCGGTGCTTTCCCCGCTGAGATCCAACGACGCCAGACACCCCTCGAATCCGTGACGACTGAGAATCTGTTTTGGTAATAGGCCATATTGCGTCTTCTCCACTCCACCTGAAACAAACAAAATATTCAATCTCATTTATGCACTTCCTTCATTTTTTTTTTAAACGAAATGTTCTCATTCCCTTTCATTTTTTTTATTAAATATATATCTGTGCTGTTGCGTTTTGATGTTTGTTTTGCTTCAGACTTTTTTAAACATCACCATTTAATCATTAAATCTGAAAAAGAAACGGACATTTACAAACTTTTATAACACCCATCCGTTTTGCATTGCGAGTCGCGAGCGTGGAGCTTGTCGGAGATGGAATTGCCGAAACGCAGATGAGATGTCGGCGTTTGACGTAAAATATCGAAACCGAAATTCGGTAGTTAAATCGAAATCATCTCTCTCGCAAACTCTCGCAGCCTTGTGATATCCGCAGGCCTCTCGGCAATCGCGGATATCGCGGGTGCTCGACGAACCGAGACGACCGCATGTCCGGTCGATCTCGTCGCCATAAATCCTGCGGGATCGCCGCCGGTCGAAAATTATTTCGACGGTCACACATTATACCCCGTATGACCGCGTGTACGAACTTCGAAACTCGACCACGCGACCAATCAGTTCCATATGCAGTCGTATGAAAGTCTCTCATACAGAATGCAAATATACTTAAGGGAGATTTTGCGAGTAAAACGTGAAATTCAGTGCCGCAGCATCCTTTTTCTCTTTAAATGTAAAAATACATCAAATAAATTTTAAATAATAATTTTAGATAATAAACTTTGAATTATCCTTTATATTACGTTAGGAATCTACCGAGAATATCTTGATGCGACAGTGAACGTCACGTTCAATCGGAGTGAAATTTCGGCTGCAAGTTTTACGCGTGGAACGGATCTCGCGACGCGGTTTGGTAATCGCTATTGAAGAATAATTGATAGCTGATTTGCCAATTTATGCCAGCTCGACGGTGATCGATAGATTTATTAATGAATTAAGCAACGGGAACGGTATGATATGGATCTAATTAATGGTAGTGATTCATAGCGCGCTACGCTGATACGGTAACTGAATTTCGGATCGTTAGTCCAGACATACATAGAGATCTACTCGCTATTAATTAGAAGAGCAAAATATCTGCATTATAAGCGCTTCTTTGTTAGTCAACATTATCGTTCATATAAAATCCTGATTTGGATAAACGATCAATTAATTAATCGTCGTCGATGCTTGACGTTTTGAAAATCAATTGCCTATCGTCAAGAAATCGTATGTGTTTTTATTGTAACATAGTTGCGATATTATTTTCCGTAAGCATCCGCGAATAGCAAAGAATGAAAAACAAGATATTCTAGGTAACGATAATCTTGTAGATGTGTTTATTACAAAGATAAAATCGACTAATTCTCTACGTGGATTTCCTGCGTTCTTTGTTGTTTGAAAAGTCATCCGCTTACACAACACGGCAATAATCGTCGCGTGACATCTCTTCGCAAACTCTACTTCTCCTCCGCCTTTGGATTAATCGTGCAATTGCATCAGGAGCGCAAAGAATTCCGACGATAAATATTTCTCCGCGTCGTATCGCGTGGAATGGTAAAAATTACAATGATCGAAATAGCACGTGACAGAGGAATTGCGTCGCAGTTAAATTACATTTCCTAAGTACGGCAATTCATAGACCATCAATTTTTCCGTGCTGTCAATAATGCTAAAAAATTCGCGGTAATAATAGATTATACGAATGAAGGACTAAAGATAATCAGTAACTCATTTGGCGATAATCAAAATATGAGTTCATAAAATAAATAGAGATAAATCACCGATACAATTGGCTGATATGTACACGTCATAGTGCTCTATTATATAGAAAATTGTAAAAATACAATTTTTAGGCTTACGAAAAAATATTTCGAAAATATCAAACCAGCAGGGAGCAATCGAAACAAAAAGGTCATAATCGTCTTTTAGATCTGTACACTGAAAAAACTGTTCGCTACTGTAACTAATCTTGCTGATTTGCTAAAAATATTTTGCTGCGTTAACTATAAATTTCTACAGTACAGCAAACGGTTTGCTGTCGCATGTTATACAATAGGCACAGTAGCAAAGTATTAGCTATTACAACTAAATATTAGCTGTCCGTATGTTACAACTGAAATTTAGTTACCACATGCAGTTTTTAGCTACGGTAGCTACATTCTTTTTCCGTGTACAACATACGCCAAGGCCAAGATTATCAAAGGCCCAGTGTAAATAATTGCCCAGAGTGAGACCACCTTATCAAATATGAAACGATATAAAATGGTACATATGTATTTGTTACTTTTTGTGACTCATGATGCATTTATGTATTCCAGAAAAATAAAAGCGACGCTAATATTTTATAAAAATTTACTATTTTCCACTTCCTTGCGGTGATTTCAATTCTATGTTAGTATATTAACGCATCTTTTAACAGAATGTTGAATTTTTCAACCCGTTAAAATTATTAAGAGAAGTTAATTTCAGATCTTCTAAAACAAAGTCTTTTATAAAAAAAATTCTATCCTATACTTTTGGCTTATTTTTTAATAATTATAACTTCTTTAATTTATTAATAAAAAAAGACTATCCCGTATAAGCGACTTATTAGTTATATTTAACGAAGGATTAATCATATTCAAGTGCGTTTTCCGCGTATACGTCTATACGAATAAAATTAGCCCGGTCGCGCCCTTATCAGCCGTTATCTTTTATCACGAATGGCGTATTCGGCGTAGAGTTATCATTAAATCGTATTAATCGTAGTAACGGCGAGCCTCATTTACTCACGGCTTTAATCTTACATTTGCGGTGCGCTGCGGTCGAACGCCGGATGTGCGGCTCGCTGAGTTAGTCGGAATCACGGGGCCGATCATTTTCGTGCTTCAAGCAGTCGTCTATGCATCATCATCGAAAGTGCACGAATTCGTGGAGCGTTCCGAATCGTCAATCGAGCTTGTCGGTGCAATCAAGCTCAAAGGGTCAGATGACGTCGAGGGAAACGGTGGAAATCACTCGGCGCGCGATAAGGAGATAATAGCGGCGACAGCGGCGTTATCACACTCCAAAATCGGCATAATTCGTAAAACCCCGGATTCGCTAATCACGTCGTCATAGCTGCGTTGCAGCACGTCACGAGATATAACAATCGACGCGGACATTTCATAACTATTATTTTCATAAGTTATCGGTCGTCATGTCTTGCCGCGATCTCGCCTTTCGCATCCTGCTAATTTCGATCGTTCGTTTCTCGACGACGTCGATCATCCGGCCGCAGAGATTGTTGGTCGTGCGGCTATCGCCGGAGCCAGCGAGGAGTCTGGAGGATATACCGGGCAGATGGAGAACGGCGAATCCGGAGTTTAAAGCGCCGCAAATCGAGATCCAGCTGATGAAGGGTCACGTCTCGCCGGGCGAGAATTGGATGTTCACCAATGAGTACAAATACTCGGGCGAGGATTATCAGTACGTATGTAGACAACGATATGCCGAAAGACGTACGCCTTTCGCTCGGGCCGAATTAGTTCTGATACCAACGTTTTCGATAAACAAATACACGTCTCGGAGAATATTACATTTTCCGAGAAAGTGTATATCGTGTCTGATGTACGGGATAAGTCATGCATTTTGAATAAGTCATATGAGGCATTTTCGGATCGAATGTATCGCATCTAACATATCCAGAACTATGTCAATTCAATACTTTTAAGTGACTGATATATACATGAAAAATACATACAATATTAAAAATTAAATAATATCAAGTTACAGAGATCAAGCAATACGAAATTGATTAAGCAATGTAAATTGAATTTTCAACCAATAATATATATAAGACACGACGTGTTCGATCCGGAAATGTGTCAACCAGAACTGAAAGGTATTAACGACGGCGAGTGCACATCCAAACGTTGCTAACGCTATAATAACGTCGTTAATGCGGATAATCTTATACGGTCATAAATCGATTAGTGGTGCGGCAAAGGTGACGCCGGCGAAAGACGAGAAGAAAATCCCGCGAATTGAGAATGGCGATATGGAAGCGAGGGAAAAGGAGAAAGAGAACGACGTCTCGGATAATATCGTGATGCCTGATGGGTTCATCCCGCAGATTGGATTCAGGAATATTATTACAGTGCCTACGTACTGCCCGGAGGGGCAAAGAGAAGATAGTAGAGGACGTTGTAGAACTGTCATGTGAGTCATCTTTTTCCTTTTATGATAATCTTTGATTACAAAAAAATCTAATCTCTTCTCGGCAGAAAATATATGATTTAAAAATACGTAATATTCGAATAGTATATTTGTCACTCACGAGAGTCCTAAATTTTAATTTTAACGATAAATTTGGCAAGTTAAAATTGGTACGGAAAAAAAAATTTGAAATCAACTATTTCTTCTTGTCAATATTCTTATCAATTATATATCGATACGAGACATTTCGACGAATAAATTTTGGTCTTAAATATTTAAAATGTATTCGTCTACAATGCATTGATCTACTAAAACTGTATAAGAGGGAAGAACACAGTTCTGCTACTGTGTTGTTTTCCAAAAGTTTAGTTTGCGTAATACAATCCTCTTAGCTTTAAAACTTAATATTTTGCATTCTATTTAAGAAAAAATAAACTTTAAATTTTGTGTGCATGGCCAAGAGTTCTTAATATAAACATAGTGATCGAAAGTTCCGGAATATTTTACACGAGAATTATTAAATGGCTATTAATCCATGGAATATACCTAATTATCGAATTCTTGATATGTTCGGTACACATTTGCACAGGAGTTTAATAATCGATTTTATACTTTTTGTTATAGAACGTAAAAGAGACAGACAGAAGACGAAAAGGAAAACACTTGAATAATTGGTGCTTTCTCTGTTATCGATATTTATCTCATATAAAATCGTATTCTGAATTGTATTGACAAAACTATCTCGCCTTTATTAATAAAGTGTTGTACTAACCCAGTACATTTGTACGCATCAATATTCAAATATGATTTTATTTATTGTTATAATGACGAATAATATGAAAGTCTTATATTTCGTAAATTGGTTTTGAAAAGTTTCATAGGTTGTCAAGGATTTCAAAGTAAATTTTGATCCACGCTCGCGCGTAAAAATCTGGCGTGCGATAATTTAATTTTTAATCTATACGATAAATTTTATATGTTCAGCAAAGTCATTATAAGTTTGTAAAACTTATAAATACTGTATACGTGTTCCAAAGTTCGAGAATGGAATTGTGACGTGTCATATATTTATAATACGTGTATATAGGAAAAAGTGACTTAAACATTTTTTGAAATAAGATCAGAGAACTTAAGAATTTTGCATTTGTTAGCGATCTTGTTCGGCAAACAGATTTCATGACAAATATGGTAAGCTAAACGGGGATGTGGTTACAGTATAATTCATTAAACTAATTAAGAAACCAATACATAAATGACGTATTTAACTTATACAATAAACGGATTGCAGATGTAAATCAGGACTGACTAATTAAATTAAATTAATATCGCGTACATGCTGTTATTTTATTGTAATATCTCTCGAATGAAATTGTCGAATAGAATCCTGATTAATTGTATTCGCCGCGCGTTATATAACGGGTGAGCAAAATAGAGAAATCGCGACGCTTAGATTACCATAATTGAACGTTATGTGAAAATTAAGTTATAGAAAATATTCTTAAAAAATTTTTTAGTATTGATTATATATATTAAACCTTTTTTAATTCTCAACGATAAGTTATATTCCGTATGCAACATCCATTGTTAGATTAATTTAGTAATTTGAGAAAAATTGCTTTTGTGCAGCAAGTAAATGGTTAAATCATAGAAATAAAATATATAAATTGTTTTTGACTCACCTATATACAAAATACCATCGAGATCGAGATTCTCGTTGCTGCCCTGGCTGTTGACAGCGGTCACGTGATCGTCCACAGCAAGAGTGTGCCTCTTTGAGGCAGGTCTACCGATACTGACGGCATGCCATTTGCCATCGTTCAACTTGGACTTGGAAGTGTCCCTGACCCTGACAGCCCCGTCGCCTAGGTCAAACACGTAATGCACGTGTCCGTTTACCAGCTCGACCGCTATGAAATCGTGCTCTCTTCCAGCGTTGTACAGGATCAAGCCGTTTGCTTCGCGAGTTTTGAACTGAAAAGTAATTTACAAGTAAGACAATGAATTTTCTCTATTTCTTTCTAATTTAATCGCATTGACATCTAATCTCCCACAATCTTACGTAATTTTTGTAGTTGCTACAATGCATCCGCAAGACGCAATTGAATGCTTTTTAAATCGACGATGGTTTCTTTACAAATGAATTAATTTGTCTGGTTGATGTACTTAGTATTTTCACATTCCTTAATTTAATATTCGAACTTAATGTTTCACATAATTAATTGAAACCCTGGCCAAGATTTTACCAGAAATGAAGAAAAACTCGATAAAAAAGCCTTGCGATTCTTTATTCGTTGCGTGACTCGACAGAATCACTTAATGCCCAAGACTCGTAAGAAAAATATTAATTTTCACCTGGAAATAGATGTTGGTCTCTACGTATGCCTTGAGCACCGGAAGACCGACGAAAGTGTGCTTGGAGGTGAAGGTCACCGGATGGTGAACCGGATGATTTCTCTTGCCGAACTTTCCGGTGACCCGGATGATGGGCGTGACGCCCTGATGCGAGGCTTGGTGGCTTCCAACGCTGCGCGCAATCTCCAAGTATGGATATCCGTTGAACCAGATCTGCTGCAGCTGGCCCACGAAATGCGGTATGTCCTCGCCCGCGTGAAGATACCCGCCTACATGGAGAGTGCGGAATTCCAAGACGCCCTGTTTTCCAAGATTCTCTGCTTCCGCTATACATTTGCATACAAACAGTCAATTTGTCATTAAATTGGAACAAATTGAAATGCAAAATAAGACAGCATTCCAATGTTTCTCTCCTTTTCCCCTCCCTTCTTTTCGTTATACATAAAATGACATCAACCTTCCGCAGTTTTGTAATATTGCCTATATCGTTTCAAAGTGTCAGACAGCCGAAATTTAGAAAACAGCCTTGCAATCTTATTACAATCTTATCTCTACTCACTCTTATCGTTTAAATCTGCTCCTTAAACAAACGTAACGATGCCAGGGAGCTGTACTGATAATACAATTATATGAGTTTCATTTCTCAATTCTTGAAACTTAATTACTGCCTCAATTCTTTTTTATTGCTCCATTTCAATATTGAAAATATTAAATCGAATAAAGAGCGCGATATTTGCATTTATGGCTATTATTTTTTTGTTTCAATTAGCAAAGATTTGCGAATACACGAAACTTTAGTGTTTAAACTGAACTATTGAACTACGCCAAGCTTAAGACAGGTACCGCATGTGTTTCGCTGTGCGGCAATTATCGTCCCAGCGCGATCGATTGCGCCGAAGTAAAGGCCGTGCAGGGCTACTGCAATTTAGGCTATTGCCACCTAACTCAATATTGCCGGCACTCGCCGTCAGTTTAATAGGGTGATCCGAGGGACAGCTTTGCGAGGGTGGCTGTTTCACGGCGGCCGCTGCGGTGGGGTTGTTTTGCAGGGGCCGACTGGGGCCAGGCTGATTGGTAAGCCAATCACGTGCTGCTCGTATTATCGATATTAATAAGATACGACCGGGATGTGCTCGATTGTGTCAGCGTTTCGTTCCCATTCAAGTGTCGCTAATTGCTTTCATTATCTCACATTAATTTCCACGCATAAATACACGCGCAATGTACACACTACGCGGAATATCCGAGATAGAATCGTCGGTTGCGACGATCCTCCGAGCTGTACGGTCTTATGTCAATTTACGCGTAGCGGCCTTAATGGTCTACCAACATGATGGCCGCGATATTGGCGAAGACGCAGACGGTCGTAACGACGCTATCGAATGGATAATATCGGTATCAAAAATGTTGACCGTCGCGAGGATCGCATCGAGGTCCTCCGATATATCGATATTGTTTGCTCATCCGTGGCGCGTCCATCGTTCGCTAACCGCGGAATTTGCGCGCAACGAGAGAGTCCCCGGAGGAATTTCCGCGAAGCGGTTTACCGTTGATGGAATCGCGCGGGGGATATAATTTACTTTATACTTGAAACGCCGCTTTTGCGACGGAGTGCCTCGAATGCCGCAGACGTCGACCCCCCATCGCGCCGATTCCGGATGCACTTTTCTCGTTGCGCAGCCGGCGGCGGGCGTGAAGAGCGCTTCGAGGAGTCGGCTCGATAAAAAGCGCATTTGCATGCCCACGATTTGTAATCCGTCCGCTGCTTGTCGGAAAATCGATCGCACTGACTCGTATCTGCCGCTCGTAAATAATATGGCCGGCAAATCGGCGTAAACAGAAAAAAATCGACGGTCTTGGAAACGTGCGAACGGGGGAGATTCTTTGCCTCCGGACGAATTTCTCGCAGAAAATGCATGCTTCTGGGAGTCAATTCTGTATCTTACACTGCATAGTGAAAATGCTCAAAGCGAGTAGCTTTGTCTCTTTCTAATTGGCCTCTTGAGGCCTGTGTCCACGATGCTGGAACTCGGACCAAGGCCTTTAGAAAGAGACAAAGCCGCTCACTTTTAGCATTTTCATTATATTAGGCTTGTTTTCTATTGTTGCACTGGTGAACTAGTGCGGTAAGCTAGAATGAGAAAAAATATACTTGTCTCTAATTTATTGCACTAGTTCACCAGAGTAGCAACAGAAAACAAGCTCGTTGTAAGATACAGAATTGTCTCCCTGCTATCGATCGTGTGCTTGCGCAAACTCGGAGTAGCGAAAAACATGTCCGAAAGTGTAGAGAAAAATCTTTTTTTTTACATCAAGCTTCATTTTCGTGGCTCATTATAGAAATATCGAGTTGGGGGAGCGAATCTGTACCTAGAATCTATACCTAGACAGGAGCATTCTCCTTTACCCATAAAATGTCCTTTCACCCCTTCTTCAAAATAAATCTGCTTTGTATGTTATTCATTGTACTTTATCGCTCGATCGCCCCTGGGATGTGCTTTACAGCTCGTTCATACGGTCGTTACATTTTTCAGCTTCGTCATAGAAAATATCTCTACTATTTACAAACGGAATTTTCGTGTCTGCCGATATATTTTTCACGACTGACACACCGACTATCAGGTGCAATAACGATCGCAGCCTTGGAAAGTCTTCGATTGGCATTCATAAGAGTGTCTCGATTCGAAGGGTCGCCGACGGAATGCAAAAGCGGACGCACTGCGCGATGCATTCTGAATTTGTGATTGCAGGAGGGTCGAGAGCACCCGCGGGAAACTTGTAATTTATCCGATAGACGAAGTGCAATCGGAAAAAGTGAAGTTTTAAGCTCTATCAAAATTGAAGCCGCGATGTAGTGACGCCTAAAAATGAATATAAACAGGGCAGCGCACTGTCTTTTTACCACTTCTTAATCAAGCATATAATCCAAGCATACAAAGGAAACTATTCATTAACAGATAATTATTTATATTGTATTAATTGCATACTCTTATTTGCATACGCGGGAGATTGTATAATTAATTATTTCATTATAATTATACATTAATCCACTCAGAATGATTGAGCAATGAAATTATGAAATCTACATATGAATGACGTCTAGCAGAAAAATATAATTCGGCGATCCTCTTTGTTAGACACGCGTTAAGCAATAAATAATTTTTATTGTTAAATAAATCACTTATTAATTTGGTATACATGTTATTCAAAATTTAGATACGCATTCAGGATGTACTATAACGGACAATAATTAATTATTCATGCTCGATTATTAAGTAACTGAATAATCAAAAATTTTTATAAGCGTTAAACAGGCAAATTATTTAAAGAATAAAAAAGCGTGTAGATTTATTCAAAAAATTATAAGCAATATATACTACAGACGTATATATTTTATGTATGTGAAAATACGAAATGTATATGTAAAAATCTGTGTATTCAAATATTTTCTCTTCCTCTCTCTTCTTCGTTTCACTAAAATAGCATCAATCTTCCTAAGTTTTGCAACATTGCCTATATCGACAGTTTAAAGTGTCAGATAAGCCGTAACGTATGTCTCAAGTTCTTAGTCTCAGGAAACTAGTATTTTGCAACAAACCAGTAGTTTCTAATTTGCCATTTGTCCCATTTACACAACTTACGAGGCAAGTGCGATGAGAAGGGTCTCGAAACTTGCGTGAAAAATTGCCCGGGAAATTTTTAATTTCGTGCGCCCGCTCGTCGATCTTGCGAAAGTTTCTCGGCGATTTTTCATTAATTATTCAAATCCATGGAGCGACCAAACTGACGTAATTACTCTCGTAGCTTGACGAACAGTCCGAAGATATTTTTCGCGTGTAAAAATATTTCTAAAAATTACTCATAAGACTTGATTTTTATATGAATATACTTTGCATGTATAAAAAACATCTGTCAATTTTACTTATAAAAATATAAGTGTATTTTATATATAAAAGTAGAAAAATCTAAAGTGCAACATACTGTTTTATTGCAAACTAGTAAAAGGGGTAACACAATTCTTTCTTGGCGCTTCAAAGTTTTCTGGGCCCTTAAAACTATGTCGCACTATGTTTCTAGAACTATTGTTTGTAATAAAGAGAAGTTACGTTAATAATTCGCGCGAATTTTCCTGCATTTCCCAAAACGAGCGAGGGATTTGTAAAACTGTCACCCCTAATGACTCGTTCGATCATCGCCAACAGCGATAGCCGAAAACGACGGGACGATTTAGCTCCGAAATGCCCGCCGCGCCAATTTCCCCGACTCGTCGGTCCGACAAATAACAACACTAATATCGGGCACGGACGATGATCGAGAGAAGGCGGAAAATTATTTTCCGCGCGAGAGCGCGCGTCGTTCCTGCGCGAGGCGACGCGGCCGCGCCGCGCCGTCGTACGGCGCTCGCATAAATCTTGGTAGACCGAATGATCGCGCCGCGGTGAATCCGCCGACTGATAAATCTCGATGTGGAAATTGATTATCGGACAGGAATTCTCCATGGCGACTCCACCCTCGCCTCGTATACACCTGTATTTATATGCCCGGGGCAATTTGGTCGTACGGTGCAGTTAATCCTTACCCTCTTTGTCTCCCTCTATCTCTTCTCCTTCTTTATCCTGTTCGACTATTCCAGTATACACCCGGGTACCCGACTCTAGCCGAATATTTCTGCTTTTCCAATTTCGAGGACGCCATAACTTTGCCACGAGATAATTAAGATCGGCATTCGCATCTATCGTTGTTTGCTTATCTTTCCGCGTGTGCATTCCATTGTATTTTTTTGTTACTCTTTTTTAAGAGAATCTGTTACAGAGGTGATTGTCTCCGATACGGAGAGTTCGATAAGATTTTTGTCACGATAGGGAATATTGATCGAGGAATATTTTTTAAAGATTGTAAACATATGATGGTAAAAATGAAAAGGTCTTCCGAATAGCTGACAAAAATTGAAGAAAGTAAGAAACAATATACTGTAGACAATCGAATATAATTCTTATAAAAAATTAAATGTATTTTAAAATTCTAAATAAGATCAGAGTTGAATATATCGCGACTGAGAATATCGTATTCTGAAATGTGTTAAACACGATCCCTCCCACACATCTGCCAACTTAAGTTTCCGTATTTCCACGTGTGTCCCCATATCTTCGCATATTTTCCCATGACTTTTTCTCACTCCGCGACTTTCGCCGCGGGGCTTCTGCGACCGCCGCCATATATTTATGCTAAATAGGGATTTCGAAATACGATATTGCTCCCTTGCGTGGGCTCTCGCCTTGTGGCGAGAAGTTGGAATGTGCGCATGTATAAGGATCCTTCGAACCGGCGCAATCGATGCGACGTGCAAAGTGCGCCCGCTTCGAAATGCCATGACAGAGACACTCCCCTCCTTCGAAATTTATAAGATTTATCGCTCGAGAAAGAAATTTCTGCATCCCCGTATAATAATTTTCTTCCGATAACTTGCCGCATCAATGTAAAATTGATTTACGAAATGTACGAGTATCACGCTCGTTTTTCTTTCGAACTGTGTATTTATTAAGTAATTTTTAATTAACTCCTTTTTTATAAAAAGGTCAATCTTCATTTACCAAGTTTAAATGATTGAAAACAAAAAGATTATAATTCACAAAACAGGAAAAAGAGAATAACTTTCAAACAACCGCTTTCTTGTTGCTTACATTGAGTTTCAACTTTTGCTTTAGAACTGCGTAAAGTTATATTAATCGGCTTTAAAATAATGCTTCTTCTTTACAAAATCATAAAATATAAATTCAAAAATAAAAAATTTAAAAATTGAAATAAAATATTGAAAATTTTTAAATATTTGAAACAGAGATTTATATACATTGTAAGTTTTCATTTTACTGCGATGTGGGAAAAAGATGAAGCAAATGCTCTTTGTGAAAGATGGGAGAGGAAGTAATTATTTTGAAGTAAAAGCATGCTACAGGGGAGAAAGAGAAAGCATATCCCGCATAGTAAAAGCATAAAGTAAAAGATGAGGGCATAATAAAAGCATGAGACATGAGAGTGCAATCTCGAATAATCTTTTGATTTTACAACAAAACGACCATTTATTTTGTATTTTAAAGCAAAGTTATTACGCTATCCTGATAGCGTATCAATAACTTAACCATAAAAGTTTTTTTATCTTTGTCGTATTTGCTATTATCTTACTTGTAAAAATAAACACTTTAGCTTGAAGAATAAACGAGTCTTTTTATATCTTTCAAACAAAGAAGAAGCGTTAGTTTCATTTTGCGGTTACATTTATTGTCTCCAAATTGAGAAATGTTTTCTAAAGCATCAAAATGCCATTAAAGAAAATTAAAATAAAATTTCTAATTTTCTTGAAGCATAATTCACTTTTACGCTCATTACGAATTCAGGTTTACTTACGAAGCGACTTTAAACCGCGTTTAAAAGCTTCAGTATGAGAAAACGGTCTATTGATTACCGTAAAAGCAAAGCTGCCCCGCTATCATCCATCATATTTCGAGCGTCCATATAAGAGCGTCACTTAAATAGACTTATCCTGGAGTTTCTGCGTCAGCGACTATTTTATGAAATTCTATTTTAATGAATATAACATTGAAGAGACGATTCATTACTACTTAATATCTATTAAATTATTACTTTCAATGCCATTTACGACGACAATTAATTAATAATTGATAATGAAAGAAATAAAAATTTCTGTCCCAATTTAATATCTAACGTAAAGCTATGTTTTTGCACAATCTAAAACTCACTTATAGATATTCACTTTTCGCGTTTTCTGTTTTTCTTCCTTTTTCTTTCGTCAATGTTCTGAAATAGAATCGTCTTTTTTTCTCACTATTCCTCACACCTTACGATCGAAGACGCCACTTGCACTGCTGCGGCACGAAAGCAATCAACTGTTTTGCATCTGGTACCGACATACAATTTGCTGCATTTTACACGACATCCTGTTCCCGTAATGCAGTTCCCGTATTTAAATTAATCGATTTTTCTTTCAATTTCTAATATTTGGTCACATTTTACCTTCAAATAAGTCTCATAAATAAATTCTAGCGATAATACAAAGTATGTTTAAATTAAGTCATGTAATTGATTTAATTCAGTTTGAGAATTTTTTAATATTTGCTCATAAGAGCACAAAATTAGGTTAAATGTTTTGTTTTAGATATAATATAAAACATTAAACGTGTATTTAATAATTGTGGCAAAAGTTTTTTAATTTTAAAATATCTATTTAATCGAGTCTAAAATTAATTTAAATTAAATCGCATTATTTTTTTAAAATAAAACCTCATGTGAAAAAATCATTTTACTTTTAATTTATCTTGCAAATAAAATCATTTGTTTCGCGATATTACCACGATTTTAATACTCTATACAAAACGCACATTCCGCATCAATAAACCGCTTTATGAGTTTTGAAATTTTACCCCACGAAAATACGCATTGCGTATGCAACGATATACTTAATTTGTTGGCTCTAATAAAATATATGTTGCGGATATTATGTACATGTATGTACATACCTCGTATTGCCATCTCACTGTCGATCTGGAATTTGAGCGAAGTGAATCGTCTGGAGAACCTCAGTGTATGCCACAAGTCATCATTAAGACCTTGTCCAACTGTCACTAACTGCAATAAAGTAATATCTATTAAATTATATTCTTTATTTAATGAAAAACTCTCTCTTTCTTTTTATCGAATATAAATGCTATATTATAGGCCGGTTTTAGCAAAACCGTCTGTAAATTAATTACAAAATTTTATCAAGAAAATTTAATAATTATAATGGAATCCTTCTTCTGTCCCCTTTGTTCTTATTTCATTAAGAATTTACTGATAGCGAATTCGGTTGCTTGTACTAGTGCGCACTAAGGCTTGTTTACAGTCAATTCTTATATTTAAGGATTGTCTTAAATATCTCTTGAAATATTTCGTAGCCAGTAAAATGATCTGCATAGCATCTCCATACGGATTATTTTTTGGCTAAATACTCTTCGAACGTGTATTCAAGATAAAGTATTAAATATACAAGTGTGTTAACCATAAACAGGCTTTAGTGTGCACTCAGTGCGCACTAGAGCAAGCAACCGAATTCGCTATAAAACAAAGTCGGTAGATACCATATATATGCACCGAGGTCCCAATTTTTATCGCATTTTTGCAGCGGCAACGTCATCGTGTCGCAATAGGTTTAACGCTATCGATAAACCACCTCTATGAGATGCCTGTCATTCGGCCAAGTCCCATAAATCCAAGCAACTCGTCACTATCTGGCACAGTCCCCATTGCAATATACGATATCACGCGTTGTGTGACACCTGACGCACGTTTGTCATCTAACGTCATCTACGCATCGCTGGTATTGCCGTCGAACATTATTATTATCCCCAGTACTAATTTATCGTTTAATTCGTGTCAGTCGCTAAAAATACGTCCACTACGTTGAATACTACGAGTTAAAAAATAGCTTACAATTACATTTCCATTCCAAAAGAAATCGTTTTTAACTTTCGCCAGTTTTTGTGGATAAAAAAGGAAATGTGCGATACATGATAAATTGACCTCATAAACTGGACAGTATTTTTATTCGACTTTTCTTTCGCGCTGTCTTCGAAACTTTTCTAGCTTTATTTAAATCAAAGTCGAACTATGTATCAAGAGATAAATCTAACTTTATGTAACTTTATGTAGAACATTATATGTTATACAGATTGTAAAATAAAGTAAAGTTACCGAGGAAACATTTCATCGGGGTATATTTTATGAATAATTTTTACAAAAAATATGTAATGTTATTAAAAACTACGTCACTAAATAACTGCTTTAATAACCGGTACACGAATAATGTGCTTGTAAATTTTTAGCTCTCTTTCAACGCGGATGTAATGGTCAAGTCGAATAAAGTAATTAAAATCGAAATAACAGAATGGAAAAATAGAATAACTGGACAAAATGTAATCATATTTTTAGAATAAAAATAACAAAATAATACCTCAATTAATTAAGTACTCACTTTATCATTATGATTTACACAATTTCGTGCTCGCGCCAATAAAAATGATTAATAAACTATCGAAACTCGTGGATAATCTCGCGGTTTACGCGGAGAAAAGTTTGCGGTTCGAAGCCGCCGCGATAGAAATCTTCGTTGAAACGTTCTCGAACTTTCTAGAAACTTGGTGGAAATCTGGTTTTCCGTAGACTAATCGTCGAGCGCCGCATTATCGTATCAATTATTCCGTCCAATTAACGAGTCCGTGTAGGTACAGAGATTGAAACATTACCGTAAATTACCTTGCGCCTTGTACGCTCGCGCTTATACGCGTGTACTTGTAGACTTGGCCCCTCGTCCGCGGGCGATACGAGAGTTCCAAATGACTTCGACCCAAGATTGTTAATTCCAGATTAACACAATATCTATTTAATATCCGCAATAATACCGCACGTTTCATCACTGCTTCCCGACAAAGTCAACGCTTGGATTAGACGCTTAATAATTCACCACAGAATCCAAAATTAAACTCTATATATAACTTTTCAGAAATTGTAAATCTAAGCACAATTTCATATTGTACTAGTCGCGTGTAAGTATATTCGAGCTGTAATTATATACAGACGGACACAATTACGTTCAATTCTCCTATTTATATTTTCTCTTATTGTTAAATACCAATCAATCAAAGCAATGACGGACATAACGTATAAATATTTTACGAGAATGAAATGTATTCGCGAGTGCTAGTATAAGGAAAGAAAAGAGAAAGAGAAAAATAAATTGCACATTTATGCAGCACCTAATGAAATAGCTGCGAAATCGAATCGGCTGATTTACCGTTCGTTCGACCGGAAGCGTCGCGATTGTAGAATTGCTTATGTATTTCCATGTATATGCGAACGGTACGAGGGGGGGGGGGATGGAGTGTTGGAGATTGCGTGAACGAGAGATTGCAGGATGCATTCAGAAATGCATTTGGCTCCCGGGAAAACGATCGATGGAGCAGCACGGAAACGCGCCTCGCGACCTTGAGGTAATACTCTTGTTAATTCTTGAAAATTTCGCAAAGATTCATTAATCGCCCGAGTTAAAATATTTTACGACGATGAAACACAGTTTTAAATTTACTGACCAACGTGATAATTATTAAAATTCCCTCAATATTTCACTTAATCTTATTTTACTAAATTAGCTTTTCTTCATCTTATCTATCTTTGAGAATAATGTTATTTAAAAAAAAATATAAAAGTTTTTAAATTTTAAGTAGATGCTATTATTGTGTTTAACTATAAAATCTTTTCAGTCACGTCGCTAAAAGTGAATTAATGTAGCAAAGCGTGAAAATCAATGCACGTTATTCCATGTTTCGCGAGCAATTGCTGAGAATACGCTTTATGCGTCCAACATTTCCGTCAAAAAGAATATTCCGTTACACGGAGATGAGAGCCGCCAGCCGTTTACTTGGCGGATGTTGCTGCGGGTGACGTATTAAGTTAACGTCATGACGTTGTTCGCAACGGGAGAACGATCTACGTCAACTATATCGGGACGACGTTCAACATCGGAGATGCTTCGGGAATGTAAATCCTCATGGACCACGCAAGGTCCTTTAACTTCTGAGCGGATGCTCGTTGACATTAAGTGGATCGAATTTGTCCGAGATAAATCCAATATCTTGTCTTTCCAACAACGTGTCCTTATTCGCGATAAGATTTTGTTTAAACATTTATGACAAAACATAAATCATAGTAATGCCCGATCCGACATCGTTTGTCGAGGAAGATATGAAACGTTAATTAGTAATCATCTTCAAAGTTTTCGCGTTTAATAATACCCAACAGTCTATTGTACTATGCTACTCCGAAGGAAACGTAAATATTTGTGGCAAGCTACTTTTCTCGTCTTCTAGATAGATTATAAATGAGTATCTCGTGATCTTACTTTTTCTTGATCTCGATCTCCGATGTGAATTAGTATCTGCACCTTGCCCTCGTCTAGATATATCTGCAAACGGTCGGAACTGTTCTCCAAGCTAGTCGCTAATAGGAGGCCGCGTGGTCTCGTCGTTTTGAATCGCACGACAATTTCTTCCGCCTGCGTTCTGGAGTCCTCCGGCATCAGCGCCGTCATTTGTTGTGTGCCGTTCAGATGCAGTGTCGACGCATCTGTAACAAGATATAATAACTTGTTAATAACAAAATTATGAATTACAAACACGCAAAACTCACTCAGCTTTGGAACACTTAAAATATTTTAAACTTGTCAGATTACCATTTTATAATTTACGTCCAATTTACCGTAAAAGCACAAGAGACTCTTCATTTAGAAATGTAGCTATTTTGAAAATTGTATAATTGAAAATGTACGTTTTTACCTTTGCCACAGGTAGGTCCTGTGAAAGGTGTGCCGGTGCAATCACAATGAAATCGATTCCATCCTTCGAGACAAGTGCCGTCGTGCATACACGGTTTCGAAGGGCAATGCTGCGTTTGAATGTGACATGCTGGTCTCACCGCACCTGTAAATATATGAACAAACGTCAGGAATATTAAAGAATTAGTAAACTCAATGTACACACACAAAGAAGTACGTATATCTAATACAGTAATAAATAATTATTGTATAATAATTACAAATAAATCAAAATTAATTATCATTACTCATAACATTGTCATTTGTACTCTAATCAAACAATTTTAAATTGGAAATTTTTGATAATTAAAAATAAATTATTATTAGTGGCTATTGCATATTCATAATTTTTTTATATCAAATGCAACTTAAATGACAACGATAAAAAATTGTGTGATTTGTTGAATGAAAGTGATTTATTTATTTACTTATTTAAAAGTTTCTCCATATAGACATAAACAAAATTTCTATTTATTTCGTCAAAAATGCATTTCTAAATTCTTAAACAATTAAAAATACCGATCGCATCTACTAAAAAAATGCAGAAAAATATGTAATAATCAGATATGCTCTACCAGGCATTGAATGTGCTGCAACGAACTTTTCCGATAATAAAAAAATCGTGGCTCTATTCGCCTTGTATAAATATTAGTAATACCACACGCCGCAGGATGTTTTTAGTAACAAATAGTTAACAAACATGGTTATCGCGTGTAGGACAGAACAATATTTGGTTTCAACAACCGATAACTATGGTTTGATTGTTACTTTTAATTACGTTATTCCACATCAATTGTATATCTGTGCTCGAATAAAAGTGTACGTTATGTGTTATATTTTAACATTAATTTCAAGATGTTATATTTATAATTAACCAGACACAACTCCGTCGTAAATATTATCTAATAAATATAATATAGAAATACAATTTTAATAATATTACGTAGATCTCGTATTGTTCTATTTTTGGTAGAGATTTCTTGGGATAATTTCGTATTATTTCAGGAATAAATGTCAAAATTTAATTCGCTTACCCGAATCCTGTTGCTGCGCATATCCCGCGATGTCTACTGGATGTCCATTAATGACGAGATCTCGCATGCAGCCCACGAAGCCTTGTCGAAGGGCACCCGTCCACAAAACGGGCGGAACAGTTAAGGGCGCAAAAGGTGCACCCACACCACCGATATATAATAAGCCATCCAAGTCTAATTGCGTGGAATCTCCTGCCAGCAATTAATTGCATTATTAATACACTTTCTATCAAAATGGTATTATATAAATCGGAAATTTATCTAAATACATAAGTATGTATTTAAATATTAAAAATAATACGTAAATTGTTATGTACTACTTGTGTGATATAATCTTACAAGTATAGATTAAACTATACCTAACAGGGACTTATAACAAAAATCACAGAAAGCTCGGATTATATTTTAATAATTTTTAACCATCGTATCAGAGAGCGAATAATGAATACACAGGGACAATCTACGCAACGTCAATCATATTTGGCGTGTACGGTAGATCAATTAAGATTGGCATTTAATAAATTTCAAAAATGTAACTGTGACATCAATATCGATGTTTAATTAATATTTATTATAAACTTTCACGGAACGTCGGTTAAATTGGGGATTTTAAATGTTTTTTAATATCATCAATCTGAAACTTACTTTTGACATCCCTTGACGTTCCATACCATATTGAAAATTAAAAAATGGAAAGCAGTATATCTAAAATTGAGTAGCTTCGACATATTTATATACATTTATATACATTTCGCGTAGCTTTTTCTTGTATTCATGTTCTCCTAGTTTTCAGTGCAAAATCTCAGTGCAGATTTTGTTTTCCTTTATACCGCGGTTAAACAAATTATTTCGTAGAGAACGCGAAAGCCAAAGATCTTTTTCTGTGCTCGGCAGTGATCCGCGTTATTTGCTCGTGGTTTTACAGAAGCGCAAGGACGGAATTGCTCCGAGCGTTAGTATGATTCAAAGAAGAGTTTTGTCGGCGAATTAACCGTCCATGTAATTCGGCTAACCGCGACAGGCTCTGGTCGTGGTAAGACGAAAACGGTGACAGTCTGATTAAAGTTATAAATTTATCTCGTGAATGTTAGGAGAGCGAGAAAAGAAAGAAAGCAGAAATAGAGGTAGACAAATAGGTATAAAGATAGAGAGACAGAAACGGACGGAAAAATTTACTGCGCTTTCTTGAACAACGAAATTCAATGCAATCTGCCATGTAACGAATAAAACCTGGTATATACACCAATTAATAAAGTAGGTTATCGAATGTAGGTGTTTGATTAACACATAATACTCTTTCTGTTTTTACATTTTTTTTTACAGCGTGTTGATCAATTTGTGAAAGTAGGACGAGATTTTTGCGACTATTTGAGTCAAAAGATTGCTTTAAATATAAAAATATATTATTGAGCTTGATATTTAACACGTAGTAGTGCGTGGCAATGGTAAATTGTCTGCGTTAACCTGCATGAAAAAAAATTGAGAGAAAAATGTGGAGAGATACAGAGCGCAGGGAAGTTGCTGATGAGCGACAGAATTAACAGGAAAGCGGAAACTAGCGGATAACTTAGTCCTTCGCTCGGCGAATTTCAGAGAAAAATAGCTACCCCTATTCTGCGTAATTAGTAATTTATTGTGTTTTATAATTAACATTTGACTTTGGACTGTCAATCGAGTTAGGCAAAAGTTGACGTAACCAGAGAATTATAAAACATGTGTATATATGCATTTCAAGTAACGAGGATAACAAAGAATATTTGATCGTTCCATTCAACCAGGTAAAGACTCTATGAAAACGTGCAACTGAAAAAGTGAGGTGTGCATCAGCGCCGTGTAATGCACGCTCTTTTCTAAATACGATGGCATTTCAATTACAGAAATACGGGCACATGTTTGCTGCGTTTCAAATACACGTGGATACGCAAGCTGTCCTAGATTCATCGGATATCCTTCTCGCTACAAATACTACGGTTGAATCAGAATAGATTTTTCTGTCTAAATTCTGTCGAGGCACTTATTATTTTTGTGTAATTAATGGTTTTTTTAATTAATCGCGTATTAAAATTTAGATATTTAATTTTGCATAGATAACGGACGGAGGTGTAAAATCTAAAGTTTCTTACTTATTTTTGCTCTTTTACCCGTTAGATAATGTTATTACTTTCAACACAATTTCTCTATCTTACTATTTTGGTATCATACTTCGGTCTTTAAGTTTGTTACATCTTTAAAAAAAAAAATTAGCGAGAGACAAGAAGCATTGCGATAACATCTTCAGCGAACTAAGTCACCGTTATCTGCGGGAGGATATGTGAATCCCGGGCTGTCTCAATGAAATTCTTTTTATCGTTTTTGCGGTATCGTTCACGTGTTTGCGGCCGTACATACGTAGTGCTTTATCACTTAGCCACGGTGCGGTGAGTAAATTCTGGACACCGCGGTCCACCGACGTAAACGGTGAGCTGAGCGGGCCGAGCCACTCATAATTCAGAGTTACACGCTCGAGGACACTTATCTGCCAGGCCGGGTTAGACACTTTATGTATACGGCGAGATAGCTCTTTTTGAAAAACTGCTACTACACGCATAAATACGCTGCGATATGTATCGGCAATTCATCGATAGCGTAGCTCGCGTTTTAAAAGAGGTATTGAGTGTTCTTGCATCGAAAATACAAATATCAAGAGATCGTTGGATGTAAATGACGATTAATTAAGTGTTTTCTGGAGAAAATAAAACTATTGCGTCATGAAATTGCGACTGATACTTTTTTATGTCAGTATTATCTTATATGTATAATTACTCACACAAGTTTTCTATTTAAAAAAAACATTTCTTTTGCATTCAGCGATATATCTCTGGAAGATGAAACGTAGAGAGAATTATATTCATTACCTAGTGTACGAAATTCGATTGTGTTACTGTCGACAGTGACTCGAGCATCTCTCTCGACTCTCCTTAGGACAACGTCGTGCCAAGAGCCGTTGTCCACGCGTGTCTTCGACGATCTTATTTTAGTATGGCCACTTCCGAGATCGATGTGTAGAAAAAGGTATCCGCCAAGAATCTCGAAGGCAAACAGATCTTGCTGTAATAAATAGAAACGGATTCATTTATATTAAAATATCGCTTCAATGTGAAGTAAATCGTTTCCGCGCGCACATCAAGCGTCTTTCTACGGTCCAAATAGGTCAACGTTTACTTTTGTTATTCGTTGAATTTATTAGTGAAAATTGATGTTGATAAATGGAACTATCACATCAACAAACTATATTTATATTTCGTATAAAGAGAAAATGGAACAGGAAGTTCCTTAAATATTTAGTGAATTGTAGCCAAATGCGAGGAGATTTGTATTTTTCATCTACGTGTACAATAAAAAGAAAAGCTCATTGTCGCAATTTATTGAGTTTCTGTTACTCTGGATAGATGGATGAAGATATATTATGTCGGCGTATCGTTGTTGTTAATAGGATTACGAGTAAATGAAGATGTATTATGGCAACCCCAAGTTTACCAACCATCAAAAAAGACTTGTCAACTTTGGTAAATAATGTTTGGTAAATAACATCAGACCAATTCATTTTTTATTTTAATACTCTATTTAATACTCTATGACGTTTTCCAATAAAAAAAATATATACGAAAGATATGATAATATTAAAAAAAATATTTAAATTGTATTTAACTCTAGAAATTAATCAATATTTATTAAGTCGTTTTTTATAACACGTAAAGCATTATTTGATCTACAATAGTCAAGCTTATTCTTTGCATTTGGCGGTATAAAAAAAAAGAATTACAAAATTTGTGTCTTCTAAATTTTATAATACATTAAAAGAATTTAGGTACTTATTGTTAGTGTACGAAAAATGTCTCAAAATACCAAATAATTGTAAAATTCAGACGCGAAGGTCACTGACCGCCAGAACTCATCGATCGTCGGAGTGTCACAGGAGGGTGGAATTGTGCATCGATAATTAAATTACTGTCAGTCGAGTGTGCAACCGCGACTGAAATGAGTTTTGGGACAAAAGCGGGTTGTTATTTCGGAAAACGTTTTTAGTAGCCAATAATTGTTGGACGCGTAATCGCACTTTGACAGCCGCATTTGGTTTCATTGTCCGAAGTTCTTCTGTATTATTCCACTTTTTTGTCCAATGGATTACTCGTTTTTCGCCAACGTATTGAGAGAACATCGTAACATTTTATTGTCCATTTGATTTTCTCGTTACAGCGATTATCGTAATTCAAAGGAAACCGAGATAAGAATACGTACTCTCGTGTGCGCTCCGCTGCGGCTGTACATGATCAAACCGTTCGGCTCGTTCGTACGAATTTTGAAGGATATAGTTCCGGACTTGGCGGCTTTCCAGGGTGGCAGAACCTGAAACAAATGAGACAGATGGTTTCTACTACGTCGCTTCGGGGCCTAAGAAGAAAAAAGAAGCGGTGTGGAAGAGCGGAACGGAAGAAGCCGCGTCGTCCTCGAGGAGAATGGACGAGCTAGCCTTGTCGTGCCCAGCATCCGCAATCTCTACGTGCAATCTTACGAATCCGCCATTCATCATAAAGCTCTTGAAAGAATCAGATCACTCGTTTAGGCATGAGCGACGGCGGGTGAAGTCATCGCAGCCGGTATAACTTGCAGTGACAATCGCAAACGTATGTTCACGTGCTTATTTGAAATGTCAAGTCGATATCTTAAATCTATGATTTTTTAATATTGTCGTCGTTATTGGATTCAGTGCAAAATTGCAAATACCCAATCATAATATTTGGGTAATTGTAATCGACATCTAACATTTTATGATTTAAAAGATTTTGACCGCAGTTCTAACTAACATTTTACGACTGACAATGTGACGATAAGTTTTCATTTAATTGCATATAAGTAAAATTGCAAATACATACATAACACAGTGTTGATCTTTTACGTATAAATTATTCTAAGCGATTAGCCGCTAGAAACATAATTCATACGCATGCACGCACACTTATACATACATATTTTTAAACACTATCAGATTTCTGCACAATATATAGAGACTTTTTTTATTAAACATTTTTTCCTGTACCTATTGCCTTCAATATTTCAAATAGTTTCAGAAATATTTGCCTGTTGCACTTTTACCAAATGCAATAGCCATTCTCTCATCAATTGCGTCTAGAGTGAGAATATTCTTTTTTTCGCGAAACAAAATATTTCAAACGAAAAATATCTTTTTTTAACACAGTACTTGTCAGAGCGACTGTTTAAAGAATCAACAATATCCGAGCGACGTGCGTTTCCTTCTGTATGAAATAAGGAACAAAAAAAAGTGTCTTTGGCAGCTCCAAGTATGAAACTCATTTCGCGCGCCAACAGTTTGCGAAATAATAGAACGTTGACAAACATGCGTGGAGAAAAATCCGAGAAAATCACAGAATTGCTACCGTAGTGAAGCGAGCGATACACACCCACACATACACACCGTCCACACGCAGAATGTTTCAACGAAATCGCGAAAAACAAGAAAAAAAATATGTCGCATTCTGCACGAGCAGCATCGCGCAAAGACCGGAAATAGTCGGTCGAAATAGAGAGTTGCGTTAGTATATTGCGCACCAAGTGTGTGTAGCCGTTTCCGTTCATTCGCGAGAATGAGCTCTATATCCAAATTTAAATAAAAGCATCCCATTGTTTTTATACTAATTTTACCCTGCAATTACTTCCTATAGGTTTTACGAACACTTCATTAGCTCAAACGGTCTTTGTATTTTAATTTCTAGTCGTATACGTAATTTGTTAATGTTTTAATGCAAACGTAATATTACTATCTCGGACACAATTTATTATTACCTTACGATTTTTTCCTTGCCAAATTATCTGATAATTTTTTTAAATTAGAAGATTCATTTTCTTTTAGTAAATATCAGCTGACAAATTTAATTAAATTAGATAACATATTTCGTTGTTTTTCTTTTATTGTAAAATTTCCCTGATTTCATTAATTTTATTACCGAGTGACACGACAAAATTCCCGAATTGATCTCGTAGAAAATGATGTCTTCGATAGCAACGATAAATGAGTAATCTCGATGAGTGTACAACGTTTCAACGAAAATACATGACACGAAAGAAAAATGCATGACACGTGTAAATTTTCAAATACACTGGCTACAAATCCGCCTCGTTTTTTCTCTCATAAACCCTCCGCATCTTCTTTATTCGATTTGGCGAGCAATCGATGCAGCTGGGAGGAAAGTGTACGACGTGCCACATTATACGCTTTGACAGTCAAAAGTGATGCAGCCATATTTAAAGTCGCGTGACGTTATACGGTCAGATGCGCTTTTTGAATAATGCAGAGCACGCCTAACCGCTATGAATCAGCATCAGACGAAATGGGTCCTCCCCGTTGTAGCTCATACTTCTTCTCTATCTTTTCAGCTCTGTAAAGATTCAGTATAAGCAACCGCAAGATGCTGCCGTAAGGATACGTTTGTTTTCCGTGTTCTTTTTACGCCAAACGATTTATTTCACACAAGAATAATTGTAATATATAACTGTATCTTATCATTTCCGCATAATTAAGTGCATATGTACTTTTACAAAACGTTGATCATCCAATTCGAAAGTTATGTAAATGCCTGTTTCAGAGCATTCTTTAATTATGCGCAGACAATATATTTACTAAGCTTACAAATTTATATAAAAATTAATGTAAAAATCTATAAGAAGGTACAGAAATGAAGCTGGTCGAGCTTAGAAAAGAGAGGATACAGATATAATACTTGATAAATTGATATCAAGGGAAGATCAAAGTTTGAAAAACAACGACGACGAAATAACACACAAAGAGCCCTTTCCTATTGCAATTAAGGCGAAAACAACGCCCGTATGAAGAGGCATCGCCTCTATTGCGAGGGATCATAATTAAATGAGGCGCTTCGCGAGATATTCGCAATCTGAAAGAGTCGTCACAGAAACAGGTTGGCTATTTTCCCCGGTTTTCTTTTTTTAAGCTTAAACGCTGTGCGGTAATTAGGCCACTCCGTATAGGCCATCCACGAAACAAAGAACGGCCAGCGATATTTTCCAATCGAACCAGAAATGGACAAAAGATTTCATCTGCCGCCGTTAATCAACGTCCGATGAGACGGTCATGGCCCAGCTCGATCTCTCAATGTCGCTCTTTAAATACCTGCTTTGCGTGTATTTAAATTCAGCGATTAAACGACGCGTCCGTTTCGAGGCACAAAGCATGACTCAAATTGAACAAAACGGTAAAATAAGTATTGACGTTTTCTTAATTCACGAATCTCTTTCTCACGCGATATTCTTGACGTAGACCACGCGTTTAAAAAAATAGTTGTTTCAGCAACGGATACTCCGAGTGTCACGTTCCAACTGAACAATTTGAGAAAAAGAAGAGGGACATGAGGATGCGCGACACGGCAGGAAGAATAAATAATAAGTCTCGTTACCAAGAGTTTTCGGTCCGGCTTTCCAGCCAGGAAAATTAGCCCCACTGTCATGAAACTCCAATTATACTTCGCGTCTCCAATGTATGCACGAAATCCGCATATTCCCCGGGCGCTCAAATTTCGTACCAGCAGAGAAGAGTCTTAAGTAGAATAAACACGCGTGCATTTTTTTTTAATGAAAGAATACACGGTAACAGATAAATGGCCAAAATGGGATTCATTAAAATAAACACGTTTTCTCAACTCCGATCTAAAATCTGTTACCGAGATACTTTGAACATTACGTACATCAGTATAGAGATTCCAGGGAGTCTGAAATACCGAAAGTCCGCGAGATTGATACTGCCCGCAGAAGCATCCACACGCAAACGGAAAAACTTTTTCCAATTTCACCTTTGGGAACGAACCTGCAACTCGCCGCGAGACTCGAGACCGGTTATCTTGAACCTGGAAACTTCTCCTGCAATACGAAGAAGAAAACAGGTTCTATGCATGATTTTTCTTTGCATGTGTGGAAATCCGACGCGTAATAATAACGCGATCGCGTAGTTTTAGTAAACCTCGGCGTGCTTCTATAAAGTTAATATTGGTACAGCCTGCACCTAACATCCCAATTATTGTACTAAATATCGAAGATCATGTACAGACTACTACATACATTGTACATCTTCGAATTTTGTTATAAAATTAAAATTGTCACCATTTCCGGTTGGTTCAGCAACGGATCGCGCCGGTGCATGTGCATATAAACGCGGAGTCCCATTCATTTTAACACTTTCGCATCAATATTCAATGTCCCACAGAACAATTTGCACAGTATCATTATCTAAATAACGAATATTTCAGGTGGAATACGTTCGTAATTATTAATCGCAGTCGTAGGAGCAGTGGGAGAGCATAAAATTGCAAAGGTCGAACGGTCGGTGGTAAAAAGATCTATGACGGCAACGAAATATAACTGCGGTAAATCTCCTTTAAGTTTCATGGCAATCTTCCTAAATTTTTTTCCCCCTGAAGAATCGAAGAGATCGATCTCGGGTGACTCGTTCTCGGGTGCCATATCTTCGAGACTCTTCTTCGGGCACTTCTTACGTTCTTCCGCCGGAGCGAATATCTCTCCGAACAACAATTCCGAAGAACGCGGTGGAGTACGGCACTTCTCCGGTATTTCTTTCTCTTTCGCTCGCTTTCCTTTCTGTCTTGTTCATTTTGGGACTTTTTTCGTTCTCACTTTCAACAAGTTTCCGGAGGACACGCGTTACCGTCGAAAGCGGCTTTCAACGGTGATCCCTCTTAACAAACGAACTGCCGAGCTGTGACCCGGAACGCGATCACTTTATGATCGATAGCATCGTTTTATTAACTGCTAAATTTGAGCGTTACAATAATATTGCACGTAAAATGCGCAATTCGTGCAATTTGCATAATTATATAAATTATCGATTGCCCGATTATCAGCCGATATATAAATTAACAATAAACAGCGTCGCGAATGGCATTCGTATATTTTGCACGAAAATGAGCACGTAATTGTAGTCACATATAAATTTTCATAACAGTATTTAAATAGATATCCGCAAGATATTATATCGCGCAATCGAAGGGATGATCCAATTGTTTCTTTAATATCAGATATCGCGTCGATCGGGCATTGCCAATCGGTCATTTGCCAATATTTACGATACCGGATATTGGCGTCAATTACTAAAAATAGTATTCGCATATGAATACGCGCACGTTTCCTTCACAGATTCGTAGGCTCGATCATAGATCTCGTTACATCTCGAGATTCCTCGAGAATTACGCGAAAGTCGGATATCTCATCCGACCGAGGCAGTCGCGCCGAGAAATTCATCTCCAGCTAGTCCGCCGCACAAAGTGGCGCTTCGTCGGGGATATTTCATCCTGAAACTGGCT